TCAGCACCACACAGCACACGCTGTACTTCCTTATAGCCCATCTCTGTTCCTCACACAGCAGCAGGACTTTTGGCTTATGGGCTACTCTTCCCACCTTCCATTTCATAGATCCACAGAATCATAGATGGGTTCGGGTGGGAAGGAATCTTAAAGGATGTTTCATTCCAACCCCTTGCCATGGGCAGGGTCACCTTACACTGCTCTGGGTTTTTTCAATCTGGCCTTGAACATTTCAGGGATGGGGCAGCCACAGCTTCTCTGGACACCCTGTGCCAGGGCCTCCCCACCCTCCCAGGGAAGAATTTCTTCCCAATATCCCATCTAACCTGACCTCTGGCAGTGGGAAGCCATCCCCCCTTGTCCTGTCACTCCAGACCCTTGTCCAAAGCCCCTCCCCAGCCCTCTGGAGCCCCTTGAGGCACTGGAAGGGATCCTGAGGTCTCCCCAGAGCCTTCTCCAGGCTCAGCCTATCTCTGTAGCCGAGATGCTCCAGTCCTTGGAGGATCATCGTGGCTTCCTCTGGACTTGCTCCAACAGGTTCCTTTTTCCCCATCCCTCCCTTTTTAAGCCTCCCCAGCAGTCCCCACCATGGAGATGGGACAACTTTCCCTCCTACATCTGTTGCTGCTGGGTTCTACCCTCCAGCCCTCCCATCCAGCTCCGTGGTTCTCCTCAGCCAAGGAGAAGGTGGTGAGTAAGATCTGGTCCTTCAGGCAGCCCTGGGCAGGGCTCTGGAGGTGAAGAGCAGGGCTGTGAATAACCAACTGGTTCAGCAATGCAGCTCTGCTGCCACAGAGATTCACACGGCAAACACGGCGTGAAGCCATGAATGCACAATCAGGGCTGCAGCCTGGGAGTGTCCGAAGGAGATCCTCCTGTTGAAGGAAGGAGAAACTTGCTTTTGCATAAATATCCACAAAAATAGCTGAGGGGAAGCACAGCAAAATGAGTGGGAAAGCAAGCTGGAGTTTTTCTGGCAGAGCCTGCTTTGCTGCCAGTCTGAGTCTCTCTTCTGAGCAGATATCAAAGGCTGCACCCACACCAGCTGCTGCTGGAGATCCTTCTCATTTAAAAAAAGGAAGCTCTAACTATAGAGAGTAGCACTACAGGGTGAGAGACATCCTTCTCTGGACATACATTGTTGTACCCAGCAATGATATTCCAAAGTATCCAGAGAGAGATTGGAGCCCAGTGACAGCTCTTTAAATAGTTAACAAACCTCCCTGGAATAAAAAAAAAAAAAAAAAAAAAAGAAAAGATAATTTTTTAAAAAGAAAGACAAATTTAAAGTCTAGCTTCTCATGGAAATCTTGGGAAAACCTACATGGCACCTGCTTAGCATCAAGCAGGGTCTTCATCAGGGCAAGCCTCAAGCTTTGGAGCAGGGGCAGCACAAGGGCTCAGCACAGCTTTGGTCACTCTGCAGTCAGGGTTCCTCCCACGTGCTGAAGGTGTCTCCAGCCCTGGGGGCCAGGCTTTGCTGGGGCACAGGTATTTGGAGCAGGAGAAAGGCTTTGTGGCTCCTATGGGCAGTGGGCTTGGGGAGAGGGATTTCAGCTGAATACTCACCCAAAACAAATGCCCCCCCATCTGACCTACAGCTCAGTAAAGGGTAACCCAGCATGTCCCCAGCTCAGCTCTTCCCACAGCGTAAAACCATAAACTACAGAATATCCAGAGCTGGAAGAGACCCACAAGGATCACAGACAAACTCCTGGCCTTGGAGAGAACAACACCAAGAGCCCCACCATGTGCCTGAGGGTGTTGTCCACCCAAACCTCAGTGAAAGGGTAAATTCTGCTCCTTATTTTTGCTGTTAGAAGTTGCAATTGATGGAGGGGGAATGTTGTTGGCTGCGGGAGAGGAAGGGAGATCTGGTTCTTGCAAAGCCAGAGATCTGCCCAGATTTACCAGGAGCCAAGGAGCTGCTTGGGGGAAAGCTCAGTCCCCAGCTTATTCATTCCTCAGCCTTTTCCAGCACTTGATTTCAGCCAACAGCAGCAGAGAGAATACTTGGTACCTTAATAAATCCCATAATACTGAATAAAGCACTTTGGTTTATGGTTTTGCTATAAGAACTCACCCCTGGATACTTTTAATTAACTGAACTAGAAAAAAAATAAAGATTTCCATTTTTTTTCTCACCAATTTACTTTTTCTTTTTTGAGAAGAAAATCACCTCTGCTAATAAAAAGCCCTCTCCTGATATTTACCTGCTTGGGTAGAAATATTGATCTCTGTGCAGAGAGAAAGCACTTTCCTTATTGTGCATCTCACTGGCTGATCCATCTTTCCTACAGAATACAGCCTTGGCTTTATTTTCAGAGCAGTTCTGCAATTTATTGTTCTCCCAGGTCATGCCTAACCCCATAACTCCTGGGAATTGTGGGGACAGGAGGTGGGAAGAGCTTTTTTTCATCCTTCAGCAGACTTCACCTCTAATGGCAGGCAGCTGCCTGTGCTGCTGCCCTGCCTACACATCACAGCTGCCCTTTGCAAGTCCCAGGGACCCAATTTTCCAGCCTTTTCACATCTCCTGTTCCTCTGTTAACTACAGACCAAGTTATCTGTGTAACAAAAGTTCCCACTGATCTCACTTAAAAGGGATGAGCTGAGACATTCCAAATCCACCCAGTGAACTCCTCCAGATTATCATCCAAAGCACAGGGGGTTTTATTTTCCTTTATTAAAGCACACAAATAGCCACCTAAATGTCATTTACACTGCGACAGTTGTAAAAATCACACCAGCACAACCACTTCCAAAGAGAATTACAGAGCCAGCACTAAAGCCATCCAGCTGACCATGAGCCTGTAACTCCAAAGGCACAGTACAATAAAGTTTTGCTTTCAGGTGTTTGCTGCTCTTCTTATAACAAACTTCACTGAGCATTAAACAGAATGCCTAAACACATTCACTGCAAGGGCCGTGGAAATACCCAAAAGCTTGGTAAACACACATTTATTGAGTACTTGATTATGTAAGATCATTGCAGCATAGTCATTATAACAAAATCCATATTTAAAATTGCCAAACGGGTATATTTTTTTTCAGAGAACATAAATCTATTTAAAAACCCAGCTAAGAACGACAAAGGGAGTGTGGCTGTTCCTTAGCCAGCCACTAATGAATGTTCTCCTGCTCCATAAGGGTAAGAACAGCCTGGGGTCAGTTCCCAGCTTCAGCCCCAACCATTCCCAGACCCCATCAGACCATCCCACAGCTGAGGGCTGAGCAGACCCAAGTCACTCACCGCCACAAACATCCCACCTAACCCAGATTTCCAAAGGCATGGATGCAGCTTGCCAGCAGCACAGTTCTCAAGGAGCTGTTCTTCACAAGCCTGGGGTTTATACAGGATTTCCTGGTGAGGGGTGAGTGATTAACATCCACTACAAAGTGCTTAAAGTGCCCAGATTTCCTCCTCCCTCCAGATTGGTGTGGGGAAGTGCTAATTGCAAAGTTTGCTCTGGTATACATCCAGATTCCCAATCAAATGTTAATCAGCATCAAAATCCTCCCAGCTTGAGCAGTTTACAAGGGATCTGGGTGCTACACATGGGACACTGGATTTGCGTCTATATTTTAAACCCAACCATGAGGGAAACACTCAACATAGAAATATAACATTCAATTCCTTTGTACAGCATATATAAAGAAAATGACAGCATTAAAATATTGGCAGATCAATACATTAAAAATACAGAATCTCATAGATCAGAGCACAAGAAATATATCCACATTGGAATCTGTACAGTCCAGATGACACTGCTGGTTCTCATGTTGGAATTGACCTCCCATCTGCAGGTGGAGGTTGGTGTTTTGCTCCCCCATCAGCACCACTGGCCACCATTGCCCAGATTTCCCTGGGCTGTTGTGCTACAGGGACAGCCCCAGCCTGCTGCTCTCCCCAGCACTCTTTGGGGAAGCTTTAGTTACTAAGTGAAATGACAGGACATTTCCTTTTCCACAAAACTCTCACCTACTCTGGGAGAGAAAAATCAATCCATGGTTGGCAGGAGGGGAGGTACCTGGGCAGCATTTCCCACGTGCTTTCAGCATCGTGAGTCTCATTCAGTTAAAAACATGAAACAAACCACAGAACCTCAGGTTTTGTATGGTTTGTGCCTCTCTTATCCCATGTGGAGCAGGTGGGACTGTTTTAGGCTGCCTCCTCCCACCAGGAATGTCCATGTCTTGTAGAAGAGCTGCCATTCTGACTTCTCCAGAATGGCTTTCCCTATACATAAATATATGTGTCTATAGGCCACTTCATTCCTTCCTCCTCTCACCGAGGAAGATGCCCAAGGCATGCTTGGTAAGGTGAAATCCTACCATGTATTGCACCTATTGCACTACAGACATGTATATACAGACACATCCTGTCCATAATTACACTGGAAATACAGAGTTTTGAAAAAAAGAGTAGTAGCAGCATGTAAATGAGAAATTGTGTTCATTTCCTCGGTCTTTTTTTCTTCCTCCTCTTCAGAGCTACATCATCAGCTCAGACAGTCCCTTCTCCCTGCCCTGCTCCCGTCTGAGAGGGGGGTTTCACTGCAGATCCCATCTGCAGGAACTGGCGCTGTCCTCCCAAAGCAGTTTGAATTTCTCTTCCCTTCAGCTCCCTCCTCTCCCTCCCTGCATCCTTCCCTGCACGATGACTCATCCTGGAGATGATCTTGGGTTTTGTCTGATGGCTCCTGCCCACTTTGGCTGCAGCAAAGTCTGATTTCAGAGCGATGGCACAGGAGGAAAACCCGCACACGAGCGCCTGGTGAGCCAGGCAAGCTGTTAACATCTCCACCCAGGAGGAAAAAAGCAATGCAAGAGTTCACATTCTGTCTGTCTCCCAGCAGCAGAAGTGTAAGCCCCTGGAGCGATGCCTATTTTAAACCCTTAATTCCAAAACCCTCAATAATGTTGCAGACTCCCAGGGTTTTGCAGGAATCAACAGGCTGATTTCAAACACGTTCCTTAGTGCAGCATGCACTGGAATTAAAAATGCATCAAATGGGCTCACTTTCTCTGCGTGCTCTCGCAGTATCCAGTTTTCCCAACCCCCAAAATTGTTTCCTTGGTTTCTCACCTCTCAGTTTTGAGGTCCTGCTAAAGGGCCGTTATCTGAGTTAGTTCTGACGTGGGGGTGGTTGGACTCTGCTGGGCGACAGCCACCATGGGGATTTCCATGCCTAGTCAGGCCGGATTGTTAGTCCCCTCCGAGTTCTTGCAGGCATAGGCCACATCCTTGGCGATGCTGCACATCCTGTTGGACATCTGGAGCTCGGTTCTGAAGGCGGTGGGGAAGCAGAACTTCTTGAAGCACGCCTTGAAGTTCTCATCCAAGAAGGCGTAGAGCACGGGGTTCAGGCTGCTGTTGGCGTATCCCAGCGCAGTGCAGAAGCAGGAGATGGCCAGCTCCAGCTCGCTCTCCGCCTTGGCACCCAGGCACTGCACCAGCACGAAAATCTGGATGGGAGTCCAGCAAACGATGAAGACTGCCACCACCACCAGGACCATGCGGGTGATGCGCCTCAGGTTCCGGTCCTTCTCCTTGGAGCCCGAGAGGACACGGACGTTCTTGAGCCGCCTGATCATCAGGCTGTAGCAAATGGTGATGATCAACACGGGGATCATAAAGGAGAAGAGAAAGACGCAGATGCCAAACACTGGATCCCAGTAGTCCACGGGAGAAGGGAGCTTAATTAGACAATCAATTTCTGCAAGAGTAAAAATAAAATGGGAAGGAAGATCAGCAAACGCAGATCAAGCAGAAAAGCATCTGCCCATTTAGATTAGTTTAGGTTAGTTAGGTTAATGGTTGGACTTGATGATCTTAGAGCACCTTCCCAACCTAACATAACAATTCTATGCTTAGTGTTCAGTTCCTCACATAACAATTCTGTTTAACACTAGAAAAGCAGTAGCAGTGATACAAAGAGGCAGGGTCAGAGTTAAGATGATTTTACAGGGGAGACCTCACCCCATTGATGAAACTGACACCCCTCTCCCTGGGCTCTCCTGTCCAGCACCTCCCTCCCGCTGGATGCAGTTTTACTGACCGTTGTTCTCGTTCTCTGCAGATCCCATCACCATGGCCGGGATGCCAAAGACAGAAGCCAGTGCCCAGATGCAAACATTGACTACCTTGGCCTTGTGGGGCGTGCGGATGTCCAGGGCTTTGATGGGGTGGCAGATGGCGATGTAGCGGTCCACGCTCATCATCGTCAGCGTGAAGGTGCTGGTGAACATGTTGTAGTAGTCAATGGAGATGGCAATCTTGCACAGGACATTGCCAAAGGGCCAGAAGCCCAGGAATGTGTCTGTTCCCTGGAAGGGCAAGGTCATCAGACACAGGGTGTCAGCCAGAGCGAGGTTAAAGATGTAAATGTTGGTGGCTGTCTTCATCTTGGTGAATCTGAAAGGCAGGAATGAGCAATGGTTAGAGCTCCCACCTGACCATGGTGGGTCATGCACTGAACTTTACTGAAGTAGATTCTGCTGCTTTCAAAAGGAGATGCTGTATTTTCTTATGTAATGAGGTGAGATCCTCACCTTTCAACCTCCCACAGGTTTATCAACACACAGTTCAGCCCATCTCCTGCAACACCGCAAATGGTCCCTCCACAATCACTTCCATGGCCAGGAGAACCATTCCCTCAGACTGCCAGCGAGCACCATGAAAGCCTGAGGCTGTCAACTCAGATGGTGTTTCTTGAAAAATTACTTCAATAAGGCCAACTTAGAATTTCACTACCAATGGCTTCATTGTTATAAGTATTGGCGAGAGCTTTAGCCAGTAAGCTGATTTGAAAGGTGCAGGAGTAACTTGATCAGCCATTTGATATGGGCTCATAGCCAGAGAGCATGGCTAAAGTGAGCTGTAAAATCAGAACAGGAAAATGGCCAGCCCTGGCCAGGCCAAAACTATTGAGGAACTTTTGATTTGAATCAGAAATTAAAATATCACAATGGATCTTTTGAGAGAAAGGAGTAAAGTCACAAGTCAAACTCTACTTTAAAGATTTTTTTGTCATTTCGATATTACTTTTACCACACGAACTGACTGCCCCGAAGGAAGAGTCACCTTGCTCTAATGGCAATCATCTCATTTTCACACTTGGGAAATGATGCAGAGCCACCTGTGACCACCTATCCAGGGGGACGTGCAGTGTCTGCAGAAATGGAAGCTCAACAGTGACTCCGACACTGAATCTAACATTTCAGCTCCAGGATATTCCTCTCATGGGCAGAAAAAGAGCTCAAATAGGTATAATTTTAAAACTACAGCTCATCCATCATTTACTCTACTAATGGCCTTTGCAGAAACACAGCCAAAAATGGCAGACAATGATGTGATTAACAGAGTGCAAGTTCATTTGAGGGTAACACTTCTGCCTGTAAACTGCTGCACTATTTTCAGCCTGATACGTGTTAAAATATTACAGGGTCTGATTTGACATAAAAGGCTCTTTTTGCCAATTTGATTCAGAACAGCAAACCCATAACTGCCCTTCTCAGTGCTGTGCCCTCCCCTGAGGGTCTGAGCTTCTTCAGCTCTTGATAAATGATTTGAATGCTTGGCAGAACATTATCACTGGCATATTCTGAACTCTGCTGGGACACATGGTGACCTGGCCAGGTTTGCAAGAGAAGCAGACAGGGGAGCAATGATCCAGACTATAAAGTGTACTTTTTCACCTGCCTTGGAGCTCTAAGCTGGCCTTGTATCAGAAGTCTGAAAGCAGCTTCAGAAAGCAAAACCAAATGATCCTATTTTTGACCCTGAAAGCCAAGGGAAGCTTTTGGAGGTCAGCACTGATGGAAACATTGCTGGAAATACTTTGAGGTCCCCACACAAGCCTGAATTAGGCTTTTCCCAGCCCAGAAATCAATCACAGGTTCTTAGAAAGCCAGCCCAGACGAACTTACATAACCAAAAGCAGCAGAAGGAAAACACTGGTGCCTTTCCTTTTGTGATGGGATGAATGAGCAAAAGCACTTTTCAAATCCAACGTAACCAGACAGCTGCCAGGGCTTTAAACTTTGGGATTTCCTGAGGAGAATTACAGCAGCCTCCAGTGCCCTGAACTGCAGAGGAGCATCTCAGGGGTTTTCCTTTCTTAAATTCTTGCACTTGGCACAAACGTGGTAAAGCACAAAGGGATGAGGGGCATCTGTGAGTGGATTCTCTCTCCCCTCCAGGTCAGCAGAGGGATATTAAAATGAAGAAGTGAAATCACTGTTTGATCAGCTCTCACAAAAATAAGCACCGTCAGCTCATGCTTTAGGAAATCATTCAGTCGCCCAAGACTGGGCTGGCAAAGGTCTCCTGGGAGCTGCAGCTTCCCCTGAGCACCACAAACCTGGCTGGGCTGGCTCAAGCTTCCCAAAGGTCAAGTTTGTTGTAGTCCATCCTTCCAGGAGGGCTGGAGCCAGAGGCAATTCATCACCATGCCTCTAACCCTGACTGCTTTTACTGACATTATCACTCAAGGGAATAACCACTTTGAGCAATGGCGATCAACTTCACTGCAAAACAGTAAAAACTAAAGGTTGTTCCTGCTTTATTTTTTGTCATTGACCAGTGGGAGAAACAAGCAACAATTCACCCACCTGCAATGCCCATCCAGCATCCATGGGGGACAAAGCTGCCTCCCTTCACACTCCTGTGTCCCCAGCACTGAGAAGTTTGGGGCATCTCAGCCAGCCCTGAACTCAGGGTGTGCAGAGAAAGTCTTCAGCTCCTTCCCACACCCCTCCAGCCCCACTGGTCCCACTCCTCACAGACACTTCTCAGCATGAATTCAGAGTCCAAGTACAACAACTGCTCTGCCTGGCCCTGCAAAATCCCTCAGTGCACAGACCCCTCTCCTCTGCCTCCTTCTTCACCACCCCCTGGAGGTGATGGCAGAGCCACCTTCCCCCGCTCCAACACAGGACACACTGAGGTGGCTGTCCCACCACTTCCTTCAACCCATCTTCCAATAGAATTTAAAGCTGATTTTGCACTCTTGAAAGGGGGTGAAATCAATTTACACCTAATTAATTAGTTCTACACCACTTTCTCTACGTGTTGAGAGCCAACAGCCATTGTCCCAACCAAGCAATGTTCCCAAACATTTCCAGAATGCTCAGTACACACAAAAATCAATCAATCACTTCTCTGTGGATTAACATCTATTTCTTTTCCTCCAGAACCGAGAGAGTTCTTTCTCTTAACCTGCAGAAAAATAGAAAAATTACACACTCAGGCTTTGGGAGGCTCCTCAGTCTCCTCCCCCACAACACAAATCTGCCGCAGATAAGCCCGTGGATTCCATGGAGGACATTAGCTCCCTGCTGGGCCACTTTCTTGCACTCTGCCACGGAGGTAATTTCCTAATGGAGCATCTCCCACAGGGTGGTGTTCAGCTCCCCATCCAGCTCCCCCTTTGTCACAACAGTAATTGCTCTGCTCTGCTCTTCTCTTCTGTCGGATGCTGAAGTCTGAGAGGAAGAACACCTGGATATCAGCTCAGCACTTGTTGTCCCCCCCCTTTTTGGTACGTGGACCCTCTGGTCAGGGGAATACACGGTCTGGGAGAGGAGATCAAGAGTAGACACACCCTCGGGGCTTTAAGGAGCTGCTCCTCACCAGAACAGGTTCTGCCCTGGCTGAGCCCCAGGGTGAGCTGCAGACCTGTGGTTTCTGCATCTTTCCCTTTTCCACTCAGCCACAGCAGGGCTGCAGGACAAGGACTGGGCTTAAGGACCAGCTGGCTGCAGCAAACCCACAACCCAAAATGGAGCTGCAGACACCAGGGGCAGAGGGACCAGGGCAAAGCCTGTAGCCCCACAAAGCCCTGAGCATCATTTCCAGGAGCTCTCTGCCACTTGGAGCCTCTTGATTTTGATATGTGTAGCTCCAGCTAATTAGGATGCAGACGGTGTTGTTCACCTTGAGCAGCTCCCTCCACCCCCACTTCAACCCCAGCAGCAGTGACAGCCTTTGCCCCCATCCCTGGACATGCTTCAGGAAGCAAAACAGGTCAGAAAAGGCTCAAAAAGGATTTTTACTGAGCTGCTCCCACCCTGTGATGGTGGAAATCAGCCCCAGTTCTCTCCCAGCCTGCTCCCAGCCCTCAGGTTGTGTGAAGCTGATATTTGATCTGGCACGTTCTGTCATGATTTGTGTCCCCTCAGCCGTCTGCCCACAGCTTGCTCTCTGCATCCCTGCTGCTCTGATCACCATCCCAGAGCCCCCTCAGCCTGAAACTTCTGACCAGTGCAAGATGATTTATTCTTAATGGTTCAACAGGCCATGAAAAAACCGCACAGAATTTGAGAAGGACAAATTTAAATTAGTCTGGACTCTGAGGCCAGACACTACAGCAAAAGCAGCCACCAGCACAGCACCTAAAAGCCTATAAATTACCCAGGACTGACTAGCAGGGGCCAGTAAGGGAACCTGCAGCCAGCCAGGATGAGCACACACTTTGGGGCAGATGATCTTCTTGTCCTTGAATCTCACCTCTGTGCCCAGGGGACAGCTATGAAAAACCAGTCCTGCCTGCCCTCCAGGTGCTCTTTGGGCACCACTGTGGATGGTGCTGCCATGCCAAGGGAGGAGGCTCTGTGGCTGCTGCTGCAAAGGCTTCAGCAGCTCACTCAGAGGCTCTCAGGGATGCTCCCACATCCCTGAGCAGATGCTTGGCCAGCAGGAGTGGTGCTCTGGTCTAAGGAGGGCATTCATCAGCATCCACCCTGCAGCAGGATGCTCTTATCCCTGCTCATGGGCCAGATCTGCCTCTGCTGACATCCAGAATGCTTCTGGGAATTGCCCAGTGTCTGAAAAGCACTGGGAACTGAGTCCCAGTTAAACACCACAGATTTTAACTGAGATGGGCCCTTTCACCCATCTCACCACAGCCAGGAGAAACAAAAAGCTCTTCAACACACACTGGAGCTACAGGACCTGTGTTAGCAGAGGTATGATGTGGCTACTATGGCTCATGTGGCTGAGTCCAGCTCACCTGGGCTCACAGGGACGCAGAAATCAGGGAGCTGCAGACCATTATCACAGCAGGATCCCCTCCTGCTCACCTCACCATCCTCACCCAGCTCCACTCACTCTCCAGGGCAAAGAGCCCTTGGTGTGGGTTCCATTTCTCTATAAATTGCAATAATTTATGTCTATTTTATTTTTCAAGGAAAAAGAAAACCTGGAGACAGCAAAGGTCTCAGATGGCCCCACTTGTGTCTGCTGGGTGCCCACTGCATGCAGCACTCACTTCATTTCAGCTCTGAGACACACATCTGGTCCAGGCTTTTCCCTTAGAAAGCTTTCTATTAAGAAATCAGCATCTCTGAAATGTCATAATTAACTTCATTTCCCCTGTCTCATCACAGCCAGCTGCCCTCACCCCTATTCTCAGGGACTGAGGCAGTTTTCAAGCAGAACAACAGCTGGCACAGCATCCCCAGGCAGGCTCATGATTCAGGCATCTCCCCATCACATTTTTCCTCCTGAAGCTTCACCTGGAGGCAGCAGATGAAAATGACAGCCCTGAACAGCCTAAAACATTGTTTAAAATGCTCTGAAAGGTGTTCTGCCATAGAGAGAGTTGAGCATCTCCAGCATTTTGCCAGGCTCCCAACAGAGCTGCCACAGCCATGAGGAGTGCCCAAGAAATGAGACATCACAGCAGCATGGTGGAGCTAGGGACAACAAGCTGCACCTTGCCCCTTCCCTGGGTCACCAATGGCTGGCAGAGATTTGGGACCTCTATAAGAACATCCGTGTCAGCCCCATCCCCAGGGCCAAAAATGCACCCTCCTTCTCCTTTGCCTCCCTTCCTAAATACCAAGATCTTGGGCAAGCAGCCTTGCAGACTTCAGTTAATAGCTAGGAGAGATCTCAGCAGCCTGCTTTCCTCCACTCTCCCCCCAAACCCTCTGTTCAGCTCCTTGTTTCACGTTCATTAAGAAGCAGAACAGGAAATATATGCAGAAGAGAGCAAACAGCAGAAGGAGGAGGGAGGGAAGGCACCGTCTCTGCTGGCAAGGAACTCCACGATGAGCCAGCAGAACAAAGCCACAGGCGAGGCAGGTTCCCACAACAGGCCCTTTACTGTCCAGGAAATTGTGTTCCTGACAAGAGCCCTTTTCCATCTTACCCAATTAGTGCTGCTCAGCACTGGATTGACAGTCACATGATGACTGTCTCTATAAATTAATTGTTCCAAATGTTAAATCACTTCACATACAATAGAGATGTAGGCTGGGTTCTACAACGGAGGGGAAAACCTAAAGGAGGCTTTGAATTTGTACTTTTGTGTGAAATTCCGGGAGATTTTAAAATTTTTCCCTTGGTGCTGCAGAAAACTCATTCAGGAGGAACAAGAAAATGAGCTTTCTTGATGCCTCCAACTTCCTCAAGTGCTGGTATTAGAGTCTTTTTATTTCCAAACTCCCTCAAAAACAGGAAACAATTACTGTCTGTAACATTACCAGTCTTTTTCTGGAAGGTAGTACATTATTTTCCTGTGGGCTGTGTAATATGTTGAAGCCTGGTTATCATTGCTGGAGCATGGAAGGAAAAAAAAGCTTATTGTGGTGCCCATTACCTACAATGATAAGGGTGCAGCACAGAGGGTTTGCTGATTATTTTTCAATTAATTTATCATTAAGAACCCCTAAACCCTGTGTTGACTTACCAGCAACCAACTTCCAACCTACTGAAAAACAGGTGCTACTCAAGGCATGAAGCATCAAAGCTCTAATCTGAGGAGAAAAGCTCATCAGCATCCTCCCTGTACAACCACAATTTGGTAGCTCTTCATCAATCTGTGTACATGGCCAGGGTCAGGAGTTTGATATTGAGTCCAATTCATCCTCACACCTGCTCCTGGCCTAAACAGGGCAAGGAGAGAGGAATCCTGGGCAGAGATAACAGAAGTTGTTACTTATTGATTCAAGAAGGGTCATTGCCTTAGCTCTCACCCAGTGCTGGCCTCAGCTCAGTACTGAGCTTCCAGGGAACATGGATGGGGAACAGCAGCTCCTACAAGGGCTCTAGCTCAGTTATAACCTCCCCAGAAAACACTTTTCATTTCTGAATAAAGGGAAATAGAGGAATAGAAAAACCTGAGGGATATTGGGTTGACACCTGTCTTCAGTTTTCAATTGTTTAAGAACTATAAAATGAGAGGTCACACACAAAAACAGTTATGTTCTATGGGAAATTCTAGTGTTAAATCCCACTTCCTTTTTCTGAGTGCCATTTATCCAACTGGAAGGTATCAAAGTCAAAAAGGTGTGGAGCAGAAGCCAGTATTTTTCATGGTTAGCCACGGCACAGGTCTACCCTGGCCAGGATCCCAGTTTGGGACACTCATATTGCTGGTGATCCTCCAGTCCCAGCCCTGGGCAGGGCCAGCAGCACCGTGCTGTGCACATCCCACCAGACTTTTGCAGACAGGGAAAAGATTTCTGCCAGGGCTTCTCCTCACACACACTGAGGCTCATGCACAGACTCTCCTCCTCTGCTGCACATGGGCTGCCATTCCCATGCAGCCACATCACCACCATCAGACAGGGGCTTCCAGCTCCCAGAGCCTCGCTACTCACACACTTACACACACCCACAAACTACTCCAACGATTGCTACTACACTGAGCAGGAACACGAGCTCTCCAGACATGGCACCAGTGTGCTGCAAACCTCCTCTCTGCATCTGCAGGCTCCTTGGGGCTAATGGGATCTCCTCTCAGTGCCATAAACTCCTCAGCTAAAGGAGCACAGAAAGGCAGCCTGATGAACAGTCACGTCACTTTGCCCTTGGAGCAGAGATTTAACCACCCTTCACTGACCTCTGGTACCAAAGACCTAATTTTGCAGCATCTCCCCCATCCAACTTGTAGTCCTTCAGGGGAAAGGTGTTTTGGAAGCAGTTGGGCTCCTGGCAGGAACAGGACAACTCATCAGTGTCTGAATACCTGCTAAATACTTTCATCTTCTCTTGGAGGATTCAGCCTGTCTTTTCTGTGCTGGCAGCGTCCATCTGCACCAGGAATCTGCTCCAAGATGTGGATAAAATGCAAGCTGCCTCCTTAACATGCAGGGTGCAGAGATCAGAAGGGGGATGCTGGGGTTTAACATAACCACAGCCCCAAGAGCTGCACAGACTTACTCTGTACTTGCAGGGCAAGCAAGGTTTCTAATTCCCAGAACCAGAAGGGTTTGAACCACAGCAGAAGCAGGCAGGGACACTCAAAATGCCAACAATGGGCAGGGAGGATGGAGTGGTGCATGCTCTGTGCTGTCCCTCTGCAAAGGTCAACCCCACTCTCCTGACTTCAGCACAAGGAGCCAAAGAAGTTGCCCTCAACTCTGCAGCATCCTTTCACGTCTTAAATAAGTCTGCAGGCTCCAGAGGGATGGAGGACTTACGTTTTCAATTTTTTTTTTCTCCTGTAAAAGTAAAAGGAAGCGTCCCAGCAGGTGCTTTCCTTTGCAACAAGGTTCAGCTTTGGAAAGAGCCAGCTCCCAGATGGAGCAGCACCTGCAAACACAGCTGGGGTGCCGGACACAGCACAGGAAGGAGAGGTCCCATTAAGGAGCCAGCACACCCTGGCAGTGGAATGCTCCCAGCACATTGCCCTCCCAAGTGACATCCAGCTCCCTAAAAAGAAGGAAAAAAAAAAAAAATAGCCCCATCTTTTGGAGCAGATCTGCTCACTCTTGTTCCATTCTCTGGGTTAAACTTTAGGAGGCACCAGAGGGCAGCTGAAAACTGGCAGAAACCTTCATCACAGCCTAGGAAGGGGGAAAAAACAAATAAAACCAAAACAATAAAACAAATGCCACATCGTTACCTCTAAAGCACGTCTCTAAGCCCAGGGAAGCTCCTGCCTGCTTTACCCGCAGCAGGGACTGCGGGAGGGAAGGTCTGCCCCGCTCCAGCATTCCCTGGTGTCCTACCTGACGATCACATACATGACGGAGCAGTTGCCCACCAGCCCCACAATGCACACGATGGAGTAGACAACCACGATGGTGATCTTGATGCTGAGCGGCAGGAAGCTGTCCCCGGTGCTGTTGTTGAACCAGTTGCTGGGCAGAAAGCTCAGGTTGAGCATGGAGGAGTCGTTCAGCAGCTTCCTCAGGTCGGGGTCTTCAAAAATATGGGCAGGGAAGAGCGGGTCCATCCTGAAGCAGCAGCCTGCGCCAAGGACCTGGGGCAGCAAGAGACAGCTTTAAAATCTGCTGATCAAACGGGTGGCCGGGGATCGTAGCAAGGCAAGTGCATGAGAAACGCTGGGGAAGGGTGATTTATTACCGGGAGAAGGATGAATTACCGCCACGGAACACAGCCCCCCTCCCCAGGAGCATTTCAGTGGGATGCAACCCTGAGAGCCTGGCGCACCCCGAGCTGGCAGGGACCGCGCATATCTCCACACGGCCGGCTCCGGGGACGTGCGGGCTGCACACATCATCCCTCCTGCCAGGGGCTGCGTGTCCCCCGCCTCTCCCATCCCTGCGGGTCGGTGAGTCCCCACACCTTCCACTGCCACAGCCCCCGGGGCTCCGGCGCCACCCCCCCGGTCCGTATGGCGATAAAAGAGCAGGAAAAGCCCCAAGTTGTCAATAAACGCCAGGCGGCTGCTTACCTGCGGCAGGTCCCCTTAGCGCAGCTCCGGAGCAGACTCCGCTCCCCGCGGCCACATCCAGCACCCCCGGGCCGGGGGGGGGACACGGGACAAAGCCGGGGGTTCCGCGGGATGGAGGAGGGGAAGGGGCTGCTCTCGCAGGCAGGGATGCTGCCAGCGCAGGGGGCTGCACCCCGGAGCCCACGTTTTTAAGGAAAAGGGAGGGATGAGGGAGAGGGAGGGAGGGAGGACGGAGGGCGGCTGGGCAGAGCCAGGCTGCCGGGCTGCTCCCACTGCGTAAGAGAAAAGCGGGAGGGGGAAGGAGGAAAAGAGGGGGGGGAAATGATAAATAACCAAACGCGGCAGAGGGAAGGCGAGCCCACACCTGCGAGGCACGGGCAGCGTCCTCCCCCCGGGCCGGGGGAGCTGCGGTGGCCTCCCCATCCCACCCCCGGCGCGGCCAGGGGGGACCAGCATCCCCAAACCCACCCTGCCGCAGCCCCCGGCCCGCAGCCTACCTGCGATGGGCTCCAGCAGGATATGCTGGGAAGAAGGGGAGAATCGGGAAAGGCTACCGGGGAGATCGGGATTCGGGAAGCAGATTCCTCCCTCCTCTGCAATTGTGCAACCTGAGCGCTGTTCTAGCGCAGGAGCAGCGGGATGGGGAATCTGACCTAGAAACTGGCAAAAAAATCCAAGGAGGAATGAGAACTACGGGGAGAAAATTGTTTTTATTTAGTATTCTTTTAGCAGCATTAACTACAGGTCGTTTTGGTAACCCAAACCATCCTGCACTTCTCGTCTGAGTTAGATATTTCAGGAACTGCAGTGGTAAATTCCTTACCTCAAGGTGGGGTGATCCACACAGACCCCACAGGTCCAGTCTGGCACTGGGACACTGACCCTGATAAACTTGTTTCCCAGGAGCTGCAGAGCTCCTCGGCTAGGCCAGCCCCCAAACAGAAGACTTGGGGACCCACCCCCAGTTAGATCCCAGATCAGGGACGGTTTGACTGCCGAGAGCCAGAGTCCCCTGGTCTGGTGCCTCTGGCCATCTGCAGCGTTTCCCCAAAGAAGCCATTTCCCTGCATTTTACGGAAATTTCTCAGTGTTGGGGACTCAAGCAGAGACACAGACAGATCAGAGAAAAGTCAGGGCACATTTGCCCAAGAGGTGCAGAAAAGAACATGAGCTCTTGGGCATCAAAGGTTTTTTCTCTTCCCAGCACACAGCCATCTCAACAGAGAGCTCCTTGGCCCCAGCAGGCAGCCAGGGCTACCCCTTTGTGCCCCAGCTCTCCTTAAATACATATTTGGAGATATTTCGCACAAAAGCTGCACCTTCTTCACCAGGAACACAATGCTAAGGTAGGGTGCTGCAAAGCAATTTTCTTGAAAGCTTCAACAAGAGGTCTCAGCTTTAGCAGGGACAAAGGGAAAAAAAGCATGACCCAGAGTTCCAGCCCTCCTGTGGAACAGAACAGGCTCACTGCGTCCAAAAGTGGGGTTTTGTCAGTCCATTAATGAGAGTGTGAAATAAATATTAGACCAGACATTACCTTAATTGTCAGTGGATTGATTTCCAAAGGCTGAAGCAAAGACAGCAGTAAATCAGTGCAAGAGCTCTCAGCTGGACAGCTCAGGAGCTGACGGGAAGAGTGTTTGCAAATTCAGCTCTGCTCCTCTCTGCTGGCTCTCACCCCAACAAATGCTCTCAGCCCTTCCCACACTCCTTTATGTTAATGCAGTGCAGCAAATACAGCGGGTTCACCTATTTATCTTGTGCTTTTCTTTCTGGCCTGAGAGATGTGTTTCAGAAAGGCTGGGGGAAAAGGGATCAGGAATGCACTTTGAACTACTGACAGCCAAGATATGTGTCTGGGACAAATATCTTTCAAAAAATTTGCCTCATCCATCCCTCTAGTTGTTCCCCAGTGCTCATCCCTGACCTCTTTGCATGGGGAAAAAAAGCCCAGGATGTTCATGCTGCAACTTCAGTCCCAATCCTGCTGCTTCACATGATTTCACTCCAATTATAATTCAATAATGGTGAGATCTATCCTTCTAGAATATCTCATGGTATCTTCACACATGCTCTTCTCAGAATCGCTGGGGAGAGGAGGACAATCATTTCAAGACTGCCAGATTGCTTCTTCATCAGAAGTCTCCTGTCCATTGGGGTCTATGCACCAAGCCTGGGAAGGAAGACAACCTAAACCTTATCAACATTACCCAAAAAGGATTTCTCCCAGCCAATTTCTTTGAAAAACAGATCAGCTCTTCAGCTTGAAGGTTTCTCAGCAGACAGCAAGGTAACAAAAACCAAGAAAAGAGCGAGACAAAAGGGCACCCTTCTTCCAGGTGATGCCCAGAGAGCCTTTGGGGAGGCAGCAGATCTCACCATTAGGAGATGCTGAATTTAAAACAGAGAGTCCAGAGCATCACATGCAAGTGCAAACACCTTCCACTGGAGCAGATGGCTCCAAGCCCATCCAACCTGGCATTGAACACTTCCAGGGATGGAGCAGCCACACACACCTTTACCATTTCTACCTCCAAACCCCTGGAGCATCAGCACAGTCTACATCAGCTGTGGATAAAAAATCCTTGATTATTTCAAGATAATCCAGTTCAAGTGCCAATAATTGAATCTTCTGCCATTTCAGCCAGTTTAACTTTACAGACATTGTTCCTAAATGTGGAGAACTTTTGCTGATCCTGCAGAAAACAACCCTCAGCCACCTGCCTCTCATAATAGCAACAGCCCACAGGGATTTTTTTGTTTTTGCCTTTCCTTTCAGGAGGTGAAGACGTCTGCATGTCAGAGCTGTTTTGCCCCCTTTAACATGGTTTGTCAATCTGTTTAATCAAGGCCATCATGAGCAGAGAATTAATTTTTCAAGATGTGAAATCATTTTCTCATGCAGGGAATGAGCACCTGGGCTGGAGAGGAGCAGGAGAAAGGCTGGGGGGATGTGGAGTGTGCTGGAAAGCAAAGGTTCAAAAATGCAACTGTCACTCCTGGGATGAATGGCACCTGATCAATGGCTTGCCAAAGGCTAATTAGCTAAATTTGGACCACAACCACTCGTAATGGGTGATATTGCTCTTAGGACATTAATGATGGCAGAAATCTAGCAATGATGTATCCCTTACTAAGACAGGGGCATTAGAACCAGATGATCTTTACAGATTTATGGTCAACAGAGCATAAGGGAAACAAGAAACAAAATAAATAAAAAGACATAAAAATATGAAAACATTTTTTTCTTGAACCCTAAAATCCACTTTTCCAGAGCAGCCTCTTGAAGGGGTTTCAGTGGTACTTCACTGAGACAGTGGTGACAAATTCTGTTCTTTGCGTAGTGCTATAAATCATGAAACAACACAAGACAAGAAAGATTCCACAACTGGATTATCTGCCCTCCATGGCCAGCAGACTCATTCAAAGTATGAGAAATAACATCTATTAAAAAGAAGAGGACATTGGCTTCTTCAATATTTCCAGTAATACATATTCATTGTAGCTTTTGTACTTCCTCAAGTCAGACTCATTTTAGAGATGACAGAAACCTCTGCAGCCTCTTTTCTGCACTGCCTAGCATCAGAACAAAAACAAAACCGAAAAACCAGAAAAACTGTTCCCAAGGAGCAAAGAGGGTCCTGGGGACAACACATTGTGGGAAAAGGAATCCCGCTGAGGGCAGCGTGTTGGGGTGGTACCTGAATCCCAGTCCCTGCAAGGGGAATGGGGTCAGTGGGAAGTCACAGGCCATGTCCTACCTTGTTCAAAGTCCCCATCTCCCTTCCATGATCATTGAACTTCCCAGGAAGAGCAGATGTGGGCCAAGATCTCAGGATGCAAATGGCAGGGTGATGGTCCAGCCCGTATCAGATGGCTGATCCCAGTACATCCCGTTCACTCTCACACCCAGGCACAAATACCAGCTAAGACATTTGCACACAGATTTTAGGTCCAGCCCAGCAGAAAAAGGCAGCTGAACTCATCTATCCCCACATTCCTGAAGGGCAGCTTCACCTGCCCAGTCTTGACACTTCTGCAGCCTGACAACCCCCTCCCTGCCAATTTCTGCAAGGAACTGATTCATAGGAACAGGCAAAGTATACAATAAAACAATTTCCTGAAGGACCAGCTAGTTCCCAGGGCCACCGGGCTAACAGAGCTGGAGTCAATGGATTCCTCTTTCTAAAACAGCAGGACAGCAGAACAAGTGTAATTCATGCCCATTTCAAGCACAAATACTGAGGAAATCTCTCCATTTCTCTTCTACCCATCTACAGGGTCCATGGTAAGGAGAATGACCAGGATTAGTGCCAGCAGCCACCTGCATTTTAAAAACACTCTCTGTGCTTCTAGGCCTGATCTTCATTACTTACAAATAATTAGAGCAGATCTTGCTTTCACCAAAAATTCATTTAGAGCAAAATCACCCAAGCTCCATCTGGGAGAAAGAGCTCACAATGCTACTGACTTCACTGATATTTTATTGTTTGCCATCACTATTTGCAATTTTCAAGGGACTGATCATTTCAGGTGGCTACAGATGAGGCCATAAATCTTCACTGAAACATTAAATTGTGTTTTACTGTCTTCCTCCTCTTTGCATCTCAAACTCATGAACCTGGAAACAAGCAAGTGCCTCTACTCTTACAAGACAGAAACCTCTCCTGATCCCCATTATTCCTTTCCCAGGACAATGATTTTTTTCATCATTCTGGGAATGGGCACCCATCATCCAAGGCTCATTATTTGGGTGTCCCAGATGCTGAGAGAGTCAGGGTCTCTGATTTCAAGAAAGGCAGTGATGGTTGCAGGATTTACACAGGTACTCACTATGAAACAGCAGCCAATGATGAATTTAGATCCTCTGAACACATCCCAACATTTTAACCTCTTATCCCTTAGGGAGGAAAACATCTCTGTGCTCAGATGGTGAATTTCACAGGAGTCTTTCAAAGTAAAGGTCTGCTTATCACCTTTGTGTTGCAGTCCTTTTACACAGCCAATAGCTTGGAGAGCAACAAAATCACTGCAAAATAAGTCTGACACCAAGATACCCAGAAACCATTTGCTGTTTGCTTCCCCCTGAACTTGCTCTCCCCAAAGAGATGTCCCTCAAGTTCTCACTTGTGTGGATCAATAGCAGCTGATGCCTGACAA